GGGGACCGGGTCGGGGGTCAAAGGGGCTTCATCTGGCGGGTGGCAGAAGCCGGGGCCCCCGGGCCCTGTGGGTCCAGTGGCTAATCCGCCACTGCATGAATCCATCTGAAAACAGTGGCTTGTGGAAACCTGAGCCCGTTCCCTGAAGAGTGCCAGAGTTTGTATCAGCCAGAATTGTGCCCTGTATGAGGAAAATCTTTAACTGGCTGGTTGGCAGCCCTAGTTAAAACAAACTGTAGCCATCTGCTGTGATGGTTGCGCCTTGCATAGCTCCACTAAAGCAATGTTCTATCTCCTTTGCTGCTTTGCTCAGGTAAAGAAACAGATTTTAGATGAGAAGATCTACTGTCCTCCTGAGGCATCTGTGCTGCTGGCCTCCTATGCCGTCCAAGCCAAGGTAGGCACAGAGGAATGATGGGAAATCTCCCATGAGCCCACTGATGTCCAAGTGATTTCGTTTTATTTCCTCACGCCTTTTGAGGTGATACACCTTCATCTGCTGAGGAACTGGGGTGGTGCTAGATTTGTGCAGACTTGAGTGAATGGCAGGAATGCCAGTTTCATTGCCTTCTCTGTGCTAGTGACCCTCTGGTCCTTAGGATAGACCCTGCATCCCCTATTAGGACTTTGCAGCGAGGGCAGAGCTTATAAACTGCAGTATCCACACCAGCTGGTATTGCTACAGGAGCTGAGAAGTCATCATACCCCACCCCTGCTCTCTGCAGAAGCCATTCTACCCCCTGTTCTTGCACCTTTCAACTCTTCTTTCTGCCAAAGACTCTCCAGCTAGACTGCCACCATGGCATTAAATAAACCCTCCATTGCTGGCACCAAGCCTTGCTCCCGTCCATCTTATGTTGTTAGTAGTGCAGATTTGTTGGGGTGAGGGAAATATAGTGAGGTGTTTTTCTTTCCCCTCTTCCTTTCTCTTAGGCATCAGATCATGGGTTCTCTTGTTACAGCTGGCCTAGCCAGATCACAGGTTCAGCAGTCATTGGGTTTCCTCCCTTTGAGCCAAATTCTTGTCTTGCATAATAAACCTGAATTGTGCTGGTGACCCATATGAAAGTGACTAGCCGGGAGGAGAAGGGATCACCGAGTCAGAACTCAGAGCAGCCACCAAGTCATTATTGAAACCTGCAGGCTGTAGTCATAGTTACAGCTTTCTACGTGCCTACTAATCAGAGCTTTTGGCCAAAGGAGTGGTGTACTTCATGGATCCACTGGCTACACCGCTGGCCTGCCCCCTCCTCCCATGTATGAGAGAGTGGCTGTGGAGCAGTGCTTAGTGATACACTGGGCATAGAGACATCCTGCTTCTCTCGAGCCATCCATGATGTTCCTCTTCTTTATGATCTGCAGTTGCAGAAGGGGGAATTTGTCTCACTGTCTTTGTAGAGCCAACACTTACCCCCTTGTCTTTCACTACCTGCCTGGCACTTTGCCTGTCGTGTCATACTATCCCTTTATTCAGACTACGTACCTCATTAGTGTTGTTACCTCTACATAGTTGGGTGGCATTTGACATAAGTATATATTGATAAAAGTTTGGACTTATTAAAAAAAAAAAAAAAGTGTAGGGCTTTTGGGTTTTATTTGTTTTATAACTAAAACATCTTATCTTTGTTTTTAACAAAGTGTTATAATTTTATTTAGAGCAGTTATCAGCCAGGGAAATGGATCTTTTAAAATATTTATTTGCTAAGAAGCATTGTACTGAATATTCATTCAGCACCCTTGTATTCAAGAGCATGAGCGAACATTTGTTTTTATTTCTCTCATTTCCTGTTTCATACAGAATATACATATGGGCTGTGTCTATACTACAGCTTATGATGACATAATTTATGTAATTCAGGGGGGTGAATAAACTGCCCCCCTGAGTGACATAAGTTACACGGACATAAGCGCTCGTGTGGACAGTGCTATGTTGGCAGGAGAGCTTCTCCCACCGACATAGCTACCGCCACTTGCAGAGATGGTTTTATTATGCCGACAGGAGAGCTCTCTCCCGTTCGAATAGAGTGTTTTCACCAGATGCGCTGCAGCAGTGCAGCATGTATGTATGTGTAGACAAGCCCACAGTGACTCTTTCAATCACAAAAATACTAGAACTGTTGAGTAAACTCTGTGCTGTTAGTTTCCCAGCCACTGCAGCTACAGTTCACATGCTCAATGCCAGGCTGAAGTTAGGTAAGACATATGTGGTCTTTTCACTGTACCCTCTCTCCTGCCCCAGCCACTTCTGCAGTTCCTCTATTGGCCACATGCTTATTAACACACTATTGAATTGTGCTTGATGATTAGTTGTTTGTAAGGTGCAGCATGGTTTTAAGCAGGGTTTCCTACTTCTGAGTTGTGATATTCTATGGAATCACAAGAGGGCAGCAAAAAATCCCCCTTGATTTTCAGCCTCTTAATCCCAGGGCTTCCATGACTGCTTCCTTTAGTGACCTCACCACTGTCATCTACTGGCTGAGCAGAAGCTGGGGCCTGGTCTACACTAGGCTTTTATGTCGAATTTGGCGCCGTTACATCGATTTAACCCTGCACCCGTCCACACCACGAAGCTATTTAGTTCGACATAGAGCTCTCTTTAAATCGATTTCTGTAATCCTCCCCAACGAGAGGAGTAGCGCTAAATTCGACATGGCCATGTCGAATTAGGCTAGGTGTGGATGGAAATCGACGCTAATAGCTCCGGGAGCTATCCCACAGTGCACCACTCTGTTGACGCTCTGGACAGCAGTCCGAGCTCGGATGCTCTGACCAGCCACACCCCGGGAAAATTTGAATTCCTTTTCCTGTCTGGGCAGTTTGAATCGCAGTTTCTGTTTGGACACCGTGGCGAGCTCAGCAGCAGTGGCAACGATGCAGAGCTCTCCAGCAGAGATGGCCGTGCAATCTAATAGAAAGAGGGCCCCAGCATGGACTGATCGGGAAGTCTTGGATCTCATCGCTGTGTGGGGAGATGAGTCCGTGCTTTCCGAGCTGCGCTCCAAAAGAAGGAATGCTAAGATCTACGAGAAGATCTCTAAAGCCATGGCAGAGAGAGGATACAGCCGGGATGCAACGCAGTGCCGCGTGAAAATCAAGGAGCTGAGACAAGGCTACCAGAAGACCAAAGAGGCAAACGGACGCTCCGGATCCCAGCCCCACACATCCCGTTTCTACGAGGCACTGCATTCCATCCTAGGTGCGGCCGCCACCACTACCCCACCAGTGACCGTGGACTCTGAGGATGGGATATTGTCCGCGGCCGGTTCCTCAGCGGACGGGGAAGAGGAGGAAGGAGATGAGGAGGACGAGGCAGTCGACAGCGCTTACAACGCTGATTTGCCCGACAGCCAGGAGCTCTTCATCACCCTCACAGAGATCCCCTACCAACCCTCCCCAGCCGTTATCCCAGACACAGATTCAGGGGAAGGATCAAGCAGTAAGTGTTTTAAATATCTAAACATTTATTTATAACATAACTGGCATATTTAAAATATTAACAATAGCTAAAGTGCTTTCAAACATGTAAACATTTATTTATAACAGAACAGGAAGATTTAAAATATTAACAATGGGTAAAGTGCTTCAAAACATGTAAAGAGTAAAGTCCAACAAAACGGGAATATGTGCAAAGGGTATCATGATTAGTCTGTCTTTGGGCGCTTCAATATATAGTCCGAACTATTTTCAAAAAATTTCACAATGTCCGCTTCATGATTATACTGCCCAAAACGCTCCACTCTTTTGTCCCTCCAAGGGCACCTAAGCCAAAAACTGGTCAATGTATCCGGGGATAGAGGCGACATCCTCCGGGGAGAACTCCTCATAGGCCTCCTGCAGGTGTTTTTCAAGCCTCATGAGCAGGTTCCTGGGCAGGGAGAGCTTATTAGGCCCCCCGTGGTATGAGACGTTTCCCTGCCACAACGCCAGCAGGTACTCGGGGATCATGGCCTTGCAGAGCATTGCAGCAAATGGCCCCGGTTTCTGCAGGCTGTCCCGAAGCATCCGCTCCTTCTGGCTCTCCGAGACCTTCAGGAGGGTGATGTCTGGCATGACTCCCTGCTGTGAATTAGGTAGGGGAAAGTTAGTATTGGGACTGCTTGCCCGTCCCTTTACAGAACTGCAACCGCCGGTTTACAGCCACGCGGTTTACAGCCGCGAGGGGGTGGGACAGGGCCAGAGTTCATGCTTGCAGGATTGCTGCCAGCAGAGACTCGCATTGCTTTCTATGTGAAAGGAGGCCAGTGACACTCTTAAAGTTTTAAGCAGCCCCAAGTCTACGGCTTACCATGTTTGCCAGCTAGACAAAGTCCGGTGTCCTGCCCCGCTCCTCAGCTCGCCACAGCAAGACCGCAGGCACTGTACGCGAGGGCCGAAAATTCGACCTTGTCCTCAGTGCGCGTGTGATAGGTGCTCTGCATGGTCTTGTTCACAGAGAAAGACTATGTTCTCTGTTCACAGATACATTGATCTGTCTCAGGAATTCACTCCCTTTTTCCAATTCCCACAGCCACATCTGCCCAGAGGCTAGCGCACATTAGGAGGAGGAAGAAGAGGACACGGGAAGACATGTTTGCTGAACTAATGGGATGTTCCCGAGCCCAGGCAGACCAGCAGACACAGTGGAGGGAGAACTTGTCCCAAATGCACCGGGCAAACATGGAACGGGAGGAGAGGTGGCGACAGGAGGACTGGCAGGCTACTCAAACGCTGCTTGGACTAATGAGGGAGCAAACGGACACGCTCCGCCGCCTTGTGGATGTTCTGCAGGACCGGAGGCAGGAGGAGAGAGCCCCGCTGCAGTCTCTCTCTAACTGCCCTGCCCCGCCACCAAGTCCCATACCCCCCTCACCCAAAGTCCAAACACGGAGGGGCGGCAGGGTCCGTGAAAAATTTCACTCCACCCCTGCGGACTGCTCTACCACTAGAAGGCTCTCATTCCCCAAAATTTGAAAACTCCTTTCCTACCCGCCTCACACAAGACCCCGTCCAAGTTTCACCCCCCCGTTCCATGTGCGGTTGTTAATAAAAAATACGTTTCTGTTCATTACTGTTTCCATCCTCTTCTTTTGGAGGAGAGTCTGTCTGAAGGGGGGGGAAGGGGCTTGGTAATTGGACAGGACAGTCACCTTTAGCAGGGGGCAGGTCCAGCAGCAGGGCACATATACAGTGCAGTGACTAGTTACCCTGGTCAGTCTGGGAGGTGGTTTTCATGTCCTGGGGGGGAGGGGGGGATTGCTCTGTGACTTTGTGGCGGGGGAGGGCAGTTACAGATCTTATGCCACAGTCTGCGTCCCAGGTTTAAAACATTCCCGCGAAAACAGTAATAAAGACAACGGTGTCCATTAACAAAACAGAACAGATTTTATTTTTTGGGAAGGGGGTGAAGGGGGTATGTAACTGGAGAGGATAGTCGACGGCAACCGGGTAAAGAAACGGGGGCAAGTTCAGCTTCTGTGTCCACAAACTTAAAAGTCACTGGGTACCCTGCTCAGTCTTGAAACTGGCTTTCAAAGCCTCCCGGATGCACAGCGCGTCCCGCTGGGCTCTTCTAATCGCCCGGCTGTCTGGCTGGGCGTAATCAGCAGCCAGGCTATTTGCCTCAACCTCCCACCCCGCCATAAAGGTCTCCCCCTTGCTCTCACAGAGATTGTGGAGCACACAGCAAGCTGCAATAACGATGGGGATATTGGTTTCGCTGAGATCACAGCGAGTCAGTAAGCTTCTCCATCTCCCCTTGAGACGGCCAAAAGCACACTCCACGACCATTCTGCACTTGCTCAGCCGGTAGTTGAAGAGTTCTTGTGCAGTGTCCAGGGCGCCAGTATAGGGCTTCATGAGCCAGGGCATTAGCGGGTAGGCTGGGTCCCCGAGGATCACTGTAGGCATCTCCACATCCCCAACAGTTATCTTGTGGTCCGGGAAGTAAATGCCTTCCTGCAGCCGTCTAAACAGACCAGAGTTCCTGAACACGCGAGCGTCATGAACCTTGCCCGGCCATCCGACGTTGATGTTTGTAAAACGTCCCCGATGGTCCACCAGTGCTTGCAGCACCATTGAAAAGTAGCCCTTTCTGTTGATGTACTGGCTGGCCTGGTGGCCCGGTCCCAGGATAGGGATGTGAGTCCCATCTATAGCCCCACCGCAGTTTGGGAATCCCATCGCTGCGAAGCCATCTATGATGGCCTGCGCGTTTCCCAGGGTCACTACCTTTGACAGCAGTACCTTGACGATTGCCTTGGCTACTTGCAGGACAACAACCCCCACGGTAGATTTGCCCACGCCAAAGTGGTTCGCGACTGACCGGTAGCTGTCCGGCGTTGCAAGCTTCCAGAGGGCTATGGCCACTCGCTTCTGGACAGTCAGGGCTGCTCGCATGCGGGTGTCCTTGCGCTTCAGGGCAGGGGACAGCAACTCACAAAGTTCGAGGAAAGTCCCCTTCCGCATGCGAAAGTTTCGCAGCCACTGGGATTCATCCCAGACCTGAAGCACTATGCGGTCCCACCACTCCGTGCTTGTTTCCCGGGCCCAGAATCGCCGTTCAACAAAATCCACATGCCTCATTGCCACCGTGATGTCCTGGGTGCTGGGGCTCGTGGTTTCTGACAGCTCTGTGCTACTCTCCGACTTCAGGCCCTCACGGCGGTGCCGTAGCCTCCTCGCCTGATTTCTCTGCATCTGCCTCTGGGAAAGGTGTATGATAAGCTGCGAGGCGTTGAGAACGGCCACAACTGCAGCGATGGTCACAGCGGGATCCATGCTCGCGGTGCTGTGGCGTCCGCGCTGTCACTGATCAAAAAGTGCGCGAACTGATTTCCCGCCGGCGCTTTCAGGGAGGGAGGGAGGGCGGTAGTGACTGACGGATGACGACAGTTACCCAAAAGCACCCTTGCCACATTTTTTTACCCAGAAGGCATTGGCGGATCGACCCAGAATTCCAATGGGCAGCGGGGACTGCGGGAACTGTGGGATAGCTGCCCACAGTGCACCGCTTCCAATGTCGACGCTTGCCCCGTTAGTGTGGACTCACAAAGTGGAATTACTGTCCTTAGTGTAGACACACACGTTCGACTTTCTAATATCGATTGCACATATTCGATTTAACTAAAATCGAACTACTCTCGTAGTGTAGACATACCCTGGGACTCCTGGCTTACTTCCTTCAGTTGGGCTGGTGCTGGCTAGGAAGAGAGAAAATTTTAACAGCTGGTCTCTCACCTGATAAACTGTGGGACAGTGGCCTCTAGAGGTAGGGATGAAGCCACTACAAGAGGCATTTCCCTAATGATCAGCTGTTTGTCGTAAGCAGGTGCTTAACAGCAATGCAAACTGATGCGTTTACATTTGATTTCGCTGATTGACAAGTGCATGTTTGTGTTGCTGTTTTACCTTTATCTATAATAACAATGTAGCCATCAGGGACATAAAATATATGTCTTTATTTGTAACACTACTCTGTTCATTCTGGGAATTACTGTGAATTTTTCCCTCCAGTGTTGCTTTCAAATCACCTCCACCATTTTCAAATGTTGGTATAGTCTTCAGTTTTAAATAGCAAGTGTTAGGACAGAATCTATTGAAAAATACATTCCTGCTGAAAACAATAAAATCATACCAGAGAGATTTTCCTATTTTTTTCCAATGTGAGTCATTCTGACTCTAAGCCTGTTCAGCCTCTCTGATGTTGTAGGATTCCTACAAGTTATTTTTTTCCTATTTGTTTTTATTTTTTTCCTAAATAAATAATGCATTGCATTTATATTCAAAATATTAATGTACGCAGATTTATACAGTACAATATAAACCAGATGTCTGAGTGATATAAAGACAATCTCAGAGTGTAAACACAAATATTAATCATATAGTTCAATTAACAAGAACTAAATTGCCATGACAGTTTTTGAGTTATAATTGAATTGAAAGGTTTTTTTAATATGTTTGCCAAATCACTTGAACCAATATTTCCTGCAATATTTCGGCCATTTGTTGATTTTAATTTTTGAATAATTAATGTTCTCATCCAGAGTTGCTTCCTGAACACACATTCCTTTGGGATGTGGTGACATCCTTGACCGTACTAAAATCACATAATCCACACATAGTCTTGGGTCCCCATGATAGATCACAACCTAAAATAATCATATCAATACTATTTATCATTTTTTTCCAACCAGAAATAATTTATTTTCTGCCTGTCCAAGTTTATAGAAGGAGTTTTCCCTCCCAACTCCTGCATTTTTATTATTTCCCGGTTTGACATGTGTTCAGTAGATCCATATATGCAGCCTGTTTTTGAGATGCACTGAGCACCTGCAGCTACGATCGAAGCCAGTGGGGAGTTGCCAGGTGCTCAGCACCTCTCAGGATCAGGCCAGTGGTATCTCTGTTGTATTAATTATGTCTGTGGTGGCTCTAAATCAGTAATTCCATCTTTAATCTCCAGTTGTATGAGATGTTGACCGTTTTGCTGCTAGGGGTTATATGTACAGATTGTTGATTCTGAGCTCTGGTGTTTGTTAGTGTATATCGTCGCAGCTCAGGCATTAAATGGAGGCTGATTTGGAATGTCTCTTGACTTCCTATTGTTGCTGTGTTTTATTATTTGTCTGTCTTGTAACAGTTGTTACTGTTTGCTACTGTTTGTTCTTTCCAAGCAAGAAAGAGAGATGAAGGGCATTTTCACCATGAAATGACTGACTTAGGGAAATGGTGTCCTGTCTTTTATTGGATGATGCCGTAGTGTGACTCTTGCATTGAGAGATGAATTAAAATCGAAGTATTTCCTGTACATATCACTTGTAAATCATCTCCTTTCAGTCAACTGACTCATTTCAGGCACTGTGACTTGGCCATTACATGCCCTGCGTACTGTGCAGGAGGAACGTTGAGTTTCTCACACACTGCAGAGATATTCAGCGTTTGAATCTTTTACCGATGCACTTTATATCTGAAGTGGTGGTTTTGCCAATTTCATTTTATATGAAGCTTGAAATAATTTATAATCTAAACTAGTGTGAATAATTATTGGGCACACTTTTCAAATAAGAATAGTATTTTCTGACCTAATTTGAGTAAGAGAACTTCTGGCAGTGGGACAAACTCCTGTCTGAGCAGTGTCCCCAACTGTCCATTGAAATCTCTCTTTAAAAAAATGTTCCTAATGTTAAATTGATTAAATAGGACACTGAGAGGTGACTGAAAGGGGGTGCCAGCTGCAGCAAATGATTTGCTGGTCTTGGTCCATGCCACAAAAACCACTGATGCAACTGGACTCCTTGTGGACAGCCTCAGCTGAGAGGTCAAGGTCTGAATAGCTATGAAGAGCAAACTCCCCTCTTGCTGCTAGAAGGGGACCCTGGAGGACAGGGCTGAGGCCCATTGGTGGGAGTTGTTGAGGCATGTTTGCTGTACTACTGTCCAGCTGCTCTGGAGATAAAAGAAGGTAGTTGGTCTCCAGGCCTGCACCATACAGCAGCACTAACATCACAAAGAAAACATATGGGGCTGACACACTGGCCAACGTGTACTGTGTACTCTACTCTCACTCAGTGGTTATTTTAAGGGTGTGTGATACTGAGTTAAAGTTCAAGAGTGTAGATGGTTTCTATCTCATCTTCAGACATAGTCACTGTGCGTTGTCGCCATCTTAAACATGCAGTGTTTGCGTTTCTTTTCAGTATGGTGATTACGATCCCACTGTTCATCAGCGTGGCTTCTTAGCACAAGAGGAGTTGCTTCCAAAACGGGTAAGGAGTTCAACCAGGCAGAATCCTAAATTTGTGGCTGAGTCTCTAGGACTTACTGGCATCTTCTGTAGAATAGCCCTGTAGGACTACCTACAAAAGCCACAACGGTAAATTATTTTCCCTTGATCAAAGTTCCCTTATTGAGGCAAGTGATACAATGTGCCATGCCCCTTGTCCACAAATGGTCACCTGGTAAAGCTGTACCAGCACAGCAGCCTAGTGTAGACACAACTTATACCGGCAGAAGGCATAGAAACACCACCCCCTCACCAAATGACATTAGCTATGCCAGCAGAAGCACTCTTCTGTCAGCATAGAATACCAGGGTTGGAAGGAACCTCAGGAGGTCATCTAGTCCAACCCCCTGCTCAAAGCAGGACCAATCCCCAAACAGATTTTTGCCCCAGATCCCTAAATGGCCCCCTCAAGGATTGAACACTCAACCCTGGGTTTAGCAGGCCAGTGCTCAAACCACTGAGCTATCCCTCCCCCTGCATCTACACTGGGAGATTTGCTGGCATAGCTCTTGGTTTGCCTATGTTGCAGCGGGGAGCGAGTCTCCCAGCCTGTGTGGCCAGACTCTTGCTAGTGGGGCTTGAATTGGAGCACTAAAAGGAGCAGTGTGGAGATTGTGGCTCGGGCTCTCAAGCCCACATGACCGTTTTTTCTCTGCTTCCACACCGTCGAGGCTTGAGAGCCTGAGCTCCAGCCCAAGCCACAGCATCCATGCTGCTGTTTTTAGCAGGCTAGTATGAGACCCGCTAGCACAAGTCTATCTTCCCCAGGCAGGGAGGCTCCCTCCCAGCTGCAGTGTAGATGTACTCTCTGTGGTTGGCAGAGGGACATAGCTATACCCACAGAACTTTGTAGTGTAAACCTGGCCATACTAAATGAGGACATCTTAATCTGTATCTAGACTATTTTAATAAATATGGAGGTGAATGTTTTCTGCCCACTGTCTTTTGCCAGAATAGCAGCTGCATTCCGCAGGTGTCCTGGTGTTGGCTTCGGGGTGGTTGGAGTGTGGTGTGCTCAGGAAGGCTAACTGAGAGCTGATTAATGAGAGCATAGGGTTGATCTTAGCTAGTCACGAGGGAGTTGGAAAGGCGTATGAACTGGAGATTAGACGTTAGGGTTGGGATGGTGTATGTGAGGGGACAAGAAGGGCATTTTGAGCTTGAGGCTCCCTGTTTCTGGCTCATTCATCAGGTGATGAGTCAAAGCCACAGGTAGGACAATGTGTGCTGAGGATTTCTCTGCCTGTCTCTCTCAGGTAATTAACCTGTACCAGATGACTCCAGAAATGTGGGAGGAAAGAATAACAGCCTGGTATGCAGAACATCGAGGCAGGGCAAGGTGAGTGTCTGTTAAGTTGGGCTATTGACTGGTGTAAATTCTCTAGCCTCTCTGTGAGCAGTCAGAGAGTGAATAAGGTCTCCAAGATCCCTAGCAGGCTATGGAGGACTTCTGCTAAAAGAGCGCCTCTGGTACGTCAAGCTCAGGGCTCTGCCAAATTCACAGCCATGAAAAATGCATCACGGACCGTGAAATCTGATCTCTCCCCCTCCCCGTCCCTGTGAAATCTCGTCTTTTGTGTGCTTTTACCCTATACTATACTATTCACTGTACAAGTGCTGGAGGAACCGACTAGGGGCCGTGCTCCTCTTGACCTGCTGCTTACAAACAGGGAAGAATTGGTAGAGGAAGTAGAAATGGGTGGCAGCCTAGGCAGCAGTGATCATGAGATGGTTGAGTTCAGGATCCAAACAAAAGGAAGAAAGGAGAGACCCTGGACTTCAGAAAAGCAGACTTAGACTCCCTTAGGGAACTGATGGGCAGGATCCCCTGGGAACCTAATATAAGGGGGCAAGGAGTACAGGAGAGCTGGTTGTATTTTAAAGAAGCCTTATTGAGGGCGCAGGAACAAACCATCCCGATGTGCAGAAAGAATAGCAAATATGGCAAGCGACCAGCTTGGCTTAAGAGTGAAATCTTCGGTGAGCTTAAACTCGAAAAGGAAGCTTACAAGAAGTGGAAATTTGGACAGATGACTAGGGAGGAGTATAAAAATATTGCTAGAGCATGCAGGGGTGTAATCAGGAAGGCCGAGGCACAATTGGAGTTGCAGCTAGCAAGGATGTGAAGGGTAACAAGAAGGGTCTCTACATGTATGTTAGCAACAAGAAGAAGGTCAGGGAAAATGTGGAACCCTTACTGAATGAGGGAGGCAACATAGTGACAGAGGATGTGGAAAAAGCTGAAGTACTCAGTGCTTTTTTTTGCCTTGGTCTTCACAGACAAGGTCAGTTCCCAGACTGCTGCACTGGGCAGCACAGCATGGGGCGGAGGTGACCAGCCCTCTGTGGTGAAAGAACAGGTTAAGGACTATTTAGAAAAGCTGGACATGCACAAGTCCATGGGTCCAGATCTAATGCATCTGAGGGTGCTGAGGGAGTTGGCTGATGTGATTGCAGAGCCAGTGGCCATTATCTTTGAAAATTCATGGCGATTGGGAGAGGTCCCGGATGATTGGAAAAAGGAAAATATAGTGCCCATATTTAAAAAAGGGAAGAAAGAGAACCCAGGGAACTACAGACCTGTCAGCCTCACTTCAGTGCCTGGAAAAATCATGGAGCAGGTCCTCAAGGAATCCGTTTTGAAGCACTTGGATGAGAGGAAGGTGATCAGGAACAGTCAACATGGATTCACCAAGGGCAAGTCATGCCTGACGAACCCGATTGCCTTCTATGATGAGATAACTGGCTCTGTTGATATGGGGAAAGCAGTGGATATGATATATCTTAACTTTAGCAAAGTTTTTGATACGGTCTCCCACAGTATTCTTGCCAGCAAGTTAAAGAAGTATGGATTAGATGAATGGACTATAAGGTGGTTAGAAAGCTGGCTAGATTGTCGGGTTCAACGAGTAGTGATCAACAGCTTGACGCCTAGTGGGCAGCCGGTATCAAGAGGAGTGCCCCAGGGGTTGGTCCTGGGGCTGGTTTTGTTCAACATCTTTATTAATGATCTGGATTATGGGATGAATTGCACCCTTAGCAAGTTTGCAGATGACACTAAGATGGGAGAGGTAGATACGCTGGAGGGTAGGGATAGGGTCCAGAGTGACCTAGACAAATTGGAGGATTGGCCCAAAAGAAATCTGATGAGGTTCAACAAGGACAAGTGCAGAGTCCTACACTTAGGAAGGAAGAATCCCATTCACCGCTACAGGCTGGGGACTGACTGGCTAAGCAGCAGTTCTGCAGAAAAGGACCTGGGGATTACAGTGGACAAGAAGCTGGATGAGAGTCAACAGTGTGCCCTTGTTGCCAAGAAGGCCAACGGCATATTGGGCTGTATTAGTAGGAGCATTGCCAGCAGATCGAGGGAAGTAATTATTCCCCTCTATTCGGCACTGGTGAGGCCACACCTGGAGTACTGCGTCCAGCTTTGGTCCTCCCACTACAGAAGGGATGTGAGTCCAGCGGAGGGCAATGGAAATGATTAGGGGGCTGGGGCATATGATTTATGAGGAGAGGCTGAGGGAACTGGAGTTATTTAGTCTGCAGAAGAGAAGAGTGAGGGGGGATTTGATAGCAGCCTTCAACTACCTGAAATGGGGGTTCCAAAGAGGATGGAGCTCGGCTGTTCTCAGTGGTGGCAGATGACAGAACAAGAAGCAATGGTCTCCAGTTGCAGTGGGGGAGGTCTAGGTTGGATATTAGGAAACACTATTTCACTAGGAGGGTGGTGAAGCACTGGAATGGGTTACCTAGGGAGGTGGTGGAATCTCCATCCTTAGAGGTTTTTAAGGCCCAGCTTGACAAATCCCTGGCTGGGATGATTTAGTTGGTGTTGGTCCTGCTTTGAGCAGGGGGTTGGACTAGATGACCTCCTGAGGTCCCTTCCAACCCTAATATTCTGTGATTTCATGGGGGAGACCAGCGTTTCTCAAATTGGGCGTCCTTACCCAAAAGGGAGTTGCAGGGGGGTCACAAGGTTATTTTAGGCAGGGGTCACAGTATTGCCACCCTGATTTCTGTGTTGCCTTCAGAGCTGGGTGGCCAGAAAGTGGTGGCTGTTGGCCGGGCGCCCTTCTCTGAAAACAGCACCCTGCCAGCAGCAGCACAGAAGTAAGGTTGGCATGGTATGGTATTGCCACCCTTCCTTCTGTGCTGTTGCCTTTTGAGCTGGGCGGCTAGAGAGTGGTGGCTGCTGTGAGGGCTCAGTTCTGCAGGCAGCAGCACAGAAGTCAGGGTGGCAATAGCATACCATACCATCCTTACTTCTGTGCTGCTACTGGCAGGGCGCTGCTTTCAGAGCTAGGCTCCCGGTCAGCAGCCGCCGCTCTCCAGCTGCCCAGCTCTGAAGGCAGCACCACTGCCGGCAGAAGTAAGGGTAGAAGTACCGCAACCCCCCCTACAATAACTTTGAGGCACCCCCACAACTCCTTTTTGCATTAGGACCCCTACAATTCCAACACCATGAAATTTCAGATTTAAATAGCTGAAAACATGAAATTTATTATTTTTAAAATCCTATGATTGTAAATTTGACCAAAATGGACCTTGAATTTGGTAGGGCCCTATTCATGCTGGATACTGAAAAGGAAGAGACTATAGAAGAGTGACCTGAGTTACAAATACTGTATTGTGGGGAGGGGGAAAACATATGAACAGTGGTGTTCTGGATCAGCTCTTTGGACTAGAAGTCAATTTAGCAAGGCAACGTCCCTCTTTCTAGGCTGCCAGCACAGTGGAGATAATGCTTACAACAAAGAACGTGTCTACACAGTTTTTTGTGCAATACAGCTATCTCAGCTAGGAGATTTTTTTCTACCAAAATCGTTAAATCAGTACACTCTTAGGGCTGGTCTACATTGGGGGGGGGATTGATGTAAGATACGCAGCTTCAGCTACAGGAATACCGTAGCTGAAGTCGACGTATCTTATTTCGACTTACCTCGGGTCCTCACGGCGCGGGATCGATGGCCGCGGCTCCCCCATCGACTCCACTACCGCTGCTCGCCCTGGTGGAGTTCCGGAATCGACAGGAGCGCGTTCGGGGATCGATATGTTGTGTCTAGACGAGACGTGATATATCGATCCCCGATAGATCGATTACTACCCACCGATTCGGCGGGTAGTCTGGACGTACCCTTAGTGTGGATGCAGTTATATCTGAATAAGGCACCTACATAGCAGGTGCCTACCGGAATAAGCTATACCAGCATACGCACCATTATATCAATAGAACTGCAGCAACGTGAGAGTGTTTGTACCATTGTAGTTATGAGTATGGCTGGTGTGGTACAATTTTGTATGTAGACAAGTCCTAAAGGAGCAGTCGGAGAGAGCTTTTACCACTCCTAGTGCCCCCTGCTGGCCAGTCATAATAGTACGTTGATGGGATTCCAGTGGGAGGCTTTGGAATGCCACTGCAGGAGGGCCATGCGTGTGGTAGGGCGTGGCAGCACTCCTGCTGCTGAGTCACTGAAATGACCGTTGAGATGGGAGTGATGCTCAGTGGGCAGGAGAGAGAAATAGGAGTCTGGATTCGTGAGATTTCACTCACTTAATGATTCCTTGTACCACAAGCTAGTATGGGTAGTTATACCCTTACTGGACAATACACTCCTCCTTCGGGATGAGCAAAAAGCAAGAGATGTCAAACACACAAACTGAGTCTGTTCAAGGGATTGGGGTAGAGACAAGGCCTGAAACATTGCATCCTCTGTGCTGTCATTAATAGACATTAGGATGCAGGTAAGCTGCAAACTGGGATTTGCTGGGGATCTTTATCAATCCTGCTGGTAAACAGAGACTTGACCCTTGCAATAGAGACAGTCCTGGCTCCAGTGCGTTACATGCCAGCAAGGCTTAGAAGGCGCCTGTTTTCTCCCTCTCTCTTCCTGTCTGTAACTTTGGCCTGTATTTACCTGACAGAGATGAAGCTGAAATGGAATATTTGAAGATCGCTCAGGACTTGGAGATGTATGGAGTAAACTACTTTGCAATTAGGGTGAGTTCAGAGTTTGGGTCATGTTTTCAAGGCATCTTGAGTCCATTGTGTGTCTGGGGCAGGGGAAGAGGCATTTGAGAGGGATAGTCCTAGTGTTAAAGGTCCCCTTGTCTTGAGACTACTGTGTGGAACTCAATGCTGGCTGCACTCCCGCAGTATTTTATCTGTGGGCGGGGGGAGGGGGAGGCAGTGGATAAGCTGCTGCCAGAAGCCTCCCAAGAGGATGAGTGAATGAGTCACTACTGCAGTGCACTATGCCTGGGAACCAGGATCCCCTCTGGGATAGTTGGTGCTGCATCCCTGGTCAGGGCTGGATGAAACTAGTTGGATGTAACTGTTTGTGTCAGATCCTCCTTAAATCTTCCTGCTTCAAATGGAAATGGTGTGTTCTGCTCTGTTCTTCCCTCCTGTAGAATAAGAAGGGCACCGAGCTGTTGCTTGGGGTTGATGCACTGGGGCTTCACATCTACGACCCAGAAAACAGGCTGACCCCCAAAATCTCTTTTCCATGGAATGAGATCCGGAATATCTCTTACAGTGATAAGGAGGTAGGGCATCTTTATCCTATGTACAAATACCAATAGGAATGCAATAACAAATCAGAGGGACTTCTCTTATCTCCTGTTTCACTTGCTCTCACAGTCACAGCCAAAGCTGTCTCAGTCTTTCCAATAGAACCCTTAATTCCCAGGCTTTGGTATGTTTTTTGAAAGCAGGCGTTCAAGAGCTCAGCCCAGGAGCTATTTTTTTTTATTTGTTATTTTTAGAGCCCTCTGTTTAACCATTTTAAAAAGAAAATTACCCCTAGTGTGCCCAGCCCAGCCAGCTGAAAGTTCAGAAGATGAGAATCTTGTCTTACTATGAATATGCCCTGGCATCGTGAAGTATAATTAAATGCATTCCTGGTAAGAAGAGCTTTTGGCTCACTGCTTCATTATAGTACTCTGAGCTTCCAAACTTTCAGACTGCCAGGCTCAATGCAACAGATTGAATCTTTTCTTAGGCGTCAAGTAGTGTAGGCCCAACACCTATGGTCGATTTTGATTAAACTGTTGATGTGAATAGGAATGGCTTCCTGAATAGTTGTAATCCAAACACCAACACCACTAAGACTAGAATAAGGGCTTGGCTACACTTGCAAGTTACAGCGCAATAAAGGAGCCACAGGCTCCCTAGCTCATTTCCCGTCCACACTGGGGAATGTGGCTACAGCGCTGCTGGTTCTCCACCTTGGCGAATGGAATAATGTTTGCTGCGCCCTCCCTGGAGCACCGCGGCGCCAGTGTGGATGACCTGTCCTGTTAATGCGCTCTGATCGGCCTCCAGAAGTGTCCCACAATGCCTGTTCTAGCCACTCTGGTCATCACTTTGAACTCTACTGCCCTGCCTTCAGATGATCAACCATCAGACCCGCCCTTTAAATTCTCTGGGAATTTTGAAAATCCCCTTCCTGTTTGCTCAGCTAGGCATGGAGTGTTCTCAGCGAATCTTTCCAGGTGACCACGCCTCCACGCACCAGGCGATCCCCAGTATGGAGCAATGGCGAGGTGCTGGACCTCATCAGTGTTTGGGGGGAGGAAGCTGTCCAGTCCCAGCTGCGCCACAGCCGTAGGAATTACGATACCTTTGGGCAGATATCCAGGGACATGATGGAAAGGGGCCATGACCAGGACGCTCTGCAGTGCAGGGTTAAAGTAAAGGAACTGCGGAATGCCTACCGCAAAGCCCGTGAGGCAAATAACTGCTCCGGTGCTGCCCCCACAACCTGCCGTTTCTACAAAGAGCTGGATGTGATACTTGGGGGCGACCCCACCTCCACTCCGAGTACCACCGTGGACACTTCAGAGCCCAGTTCAACAAGGCAGGAGGAGCAACAAAGCGGGAGTGAGTGTGCTGAGGCGGAGGAAGGCACCCCAGAATCCCTAGATGCATGCAGCCAGGAGCTGTTCTCAAGCCAGGAGGAAGGTAGCCAGTCGCGGCAGCCAGTGCTTGGGGAAGGACAAACACCAGAGGAGGTTCCCGGTAAGCGGCTTTTATTTTGGGAAGGAAGTTATTCGGTGGGGGCTCTCGGGGCGAGGAGGATTACGGCTGCATGCATGCCTAGATAAGGCGTTGATGTACTCTCACATTGTGGTAATCGGCCTCAGTGATCTCTTCAAAGGTCTCATCCAGAACTTGGGCAATGCGGTTGCACAGGTTTCTCGGGAGAGCCACTGTGGTCCTTGTCCCAGTAAGACTAACTTGTTCGTGCCACTGTGCCGTGAGGGGCGGGGAGACCATTGCTGCACACAGGCAAGCTGCATATGGGCCAGGGCAGAAGCCGCATTGCAGTAGAAGACCCTCCCTTGCTTCCCAGGTCACCCTCAGCAGCGAGATATCTTCCAGGACGAACTCCTGTGGAAAATGTGAGGACAGTGTTCAGTATAGGGGCCCCCTGCCGCTGTTGGCTCTCCCCATGGCACAGAAACCCAGAGGACAGTACAGCCGTGAAACAATCAGTCACGCTTGACCCTGTGCTTTCTCACCATTTTGGGGCTCCCATGGGTTTATGTGCGCTTGCTTTGGGACAGGCAAATTATGCTGTTGTATAGACTGTGCTTGCCCTTAAGTACAGAGGAATCATTGCTTTGTCTGGTGTGAACAGGGCTGCCTCTGTTAAGTGTTGCATTTTGCCTTTACAGATGCAACCTTGAGATCTCAGCCGTCCATGTTATCACCGGCTGAAAGACTCCAAAGAATCAGAAAGAGGCCACGTAGAAGCAAAGAAGACATGTTGCATGAAGTAATGCAGCATTCAAGTAATGAAAATCAAAAAGTGCAGGAGTGGCAGGAGAGTAAAAGGAGGATCCGCCAGCAGAACGAGGAGTGCTGGCATAAAAGCGTGGTGCTCCGGCAGCAAAGCATGGATCGGCTGATAAGCATAATGGAGCACCAAGCAGACTCTATCCAGGCGCTCGTAGCCATGCAGGAGGAGCATTACCGCGCCCACCCACCCCTGCAGCCCTTGTCCCAAAACTTTCCCTTGTGCCCCCATTTCGCTTCCAACCCACTTTCCCCAACATCCGGGTTCTTACCGCCACCAGCTGCCTCCAACACCTGTAGCTTCACCACCCAGCCCTGAAAACTACGACCCTTACCCACTGCACTCAACCCCCATCACCATGCAGTATAGCCATCCTGAAGTGCAGCACTCATTGCACAGCACTCCAGACAGGACATACGCAAATCTGTGATCGTACCATTCCCCACCCCACCCCCTTGCCCTTTCTGTTTCCCAAGCAGTTGTGTTTCTTTTCAATAAATTGATTTTTTGGCTTTGAAAACATTCATTATTATTGCATAAAGTAAAAGATACCTTAGCCCAGGAAGGAAACAGGCACTGCAAGTCAGCGTAGCAAACACAGATTCCTACTAACATTGGAACCACTGCACTTCACTCCCGTGCAGGGCACCAGACATTACTGGTGGCTTTCAGCCTCAAATTGCTCCCTCAAGGCATCCCTAATCCTTGCAGCCCCACGCTGGGCCCCTCTAATAACCCTGCTCTCTGGCTGTTCAGTTTCAGCCTCCAGGTGTTCAACCTCCGAGTTCCATGCCTGAGTGAATCATTCACCCTTCCCTTCACAAATGTTATGGAGGGTACAGCACGTGGATATAACCGCGGGGATGCTGTCATCGGCCAGGTCCAGCTTCCCATACAGAGAGCACCAGCGACCCTTTAAATGGATAGAAGCACACTCCAAGGTCATTCTGCACCGGCTCAGCCCTGTTGTTGAACTGCTCCTTTCTGCTGTCAAGGCTCCGTGTGTAGGGTTTCATGAGCCACGACATTAAGGGGTAAGCAGGGTCTCCAAGGATCACAATGGGCATTTCGACTTCCCCTACGGTGAGCTTCTGGTCTGGGGAAAAAAGTCCCGGCTTGCAGCTTCCTGAACAGGCCTGTGTTCCAAAAGATGCGTGCGTCATGCACCGTTCCAGGCCAGCCTGCGTTAATGTTAATGAAATGCCTGCGGTGATCCACAAGCACTTGGAGAACCATAGAGAAATACCCCTTCCGTTTAATGTACTCGGAGGCTAGGTGGGCTGGTGCCAGAATTGGAATATGCGTGCCATCTATTGCCCCTCCGCAGTTAGGGAAACCCATTTGTGCAAAGCCATCCACAATGTCCTGCACGTTACCCAGAGTCACGGTTCTTCTGAGCAGGATGCGATTAATGGCCCTGCAAACTTGCATCAACACGATTCCAACCGTTGACTTTCCCACTCCAAACTGGTTAGCGACTGATCGGTAGCTGTCTGGAGTTGCCAGCTTCCAGATTGCAATAGCTACCTGCTTCTCCACCATCAGGGCAGCTCTCAATCTCATGTCCTTGCGCCACAGGGTGAGGGGAACTCCTCACATTGTCCCATGAAAGTGGCTTTTCTCATCGAAAGTTCTGCAGCCACTGCTTGTCGTCCCAGACTTTCATGACGATGTGATCCCACCACTCAGTGCTTGTTTCCCAGGCCCAAAAGCGGCGTTGCACGGTGCTGAGCATGTCCGTGAATGCCACAAGCAAACTCGTGTCGTATGCGTTACTCGAGTCGCAATCATCGTCTGAGTCCACACTGTCCCTTTGGATCCTAAGGAATAACTCGACTGCCAAACGTGACGTGCTGGCGAGACTCGACAGCATACTTCTCAGCAGTTTGGGCTGCATTCCCGCAGACCGAAAGGGAAGACAGAGTGCGCAGTACAAAAAACGTTGAAAGATGGCGCCAAATGTGGACGGAAGCACAGGGAATGCTGGGATGCGAACCGATGCATCACGGGGCGTTGGGACAGGACCCAGAATGCCCCACCCCCTTCCCACAAGCCACAGCGCCAGAATGGGAAGAGGTGCTCTGTGGGATAGCTGCCCATAATGCACCGCTCCCAATGCTGCTGCAAGTGCCGCAAATGTGGTCACATTGCAGCGCTTTCCGTACTGCGCTCTCCGAAGGTGGGTTTAACTCACAGCACTCTACATCTGCAAGTGTAGCCATGCCCTAAGGAGGTAAAATTGACTATAGAAAGTGAAAATGACCAATTCCCTGTCCAGTCTGAGGGAATCGCACAAAGGAAACTAGCTACCTTCATGATAAGTAAACAAATTAGCTGTTTAATTTCTATTTTATTTTTAATTTAAAGATATTTGATGAGGGCAAAAAGCTAAAGATTTCTCACTTCAGTTGAGTTCATTCATGTTTTTCTTAAGTGATAAGTGCCTAATTTAATTTTTTTTTTTTTTTTTTAAAGAATTAAAACTAAAGCTCTCCATAATGTAGAGCAACAGCCCAAGCACAACAGTTTTTCTTCTCCTAAGACTCTTTTCTGCCCCTATCCAGGTCAGTGCAGTGAAAGCTCCCTGATCATGCGTTACTCTAGAACTCTGAGGCTGAAGCAGCTGCAAGTAGGCCTTGACATAATAGACTGTAATAGATCTTTCTCCTGGGGGAAGACACTGTCATCTTCTATCATGTCAATAATCCTTGTAATAAAATGACCACAAATTGACCTGACATGATAGTAAGCAGGCTTAATAGCAGTGAATGACAGCTATATTGACACAGTGAAGGTGTTTAATCTATTTTAACAATGATCAACTGTGTATGTGGAACTGGTATTACTCTGGAACCTGGGGTAGAGGGCGGGCCCGGGTTCCGCCCAAACCTCCCAACTCCTGATCCAACACAGGAGGTTCCACCAGAGGGGAAGGTCTCTGGGCTGTTCCCCGACCCACATGGTGGATCAGCAGAAACTGCGGGGATTGTTCTTACTCTTTTTTTCCCCATACTGGCCAGTGATGAGGTTATCTGAGTGAACAGCAGATTTGAGCCATGAAAGTGGCCAAACTGAGGGCTACTGTGAATCTCTGAGGCAAGCAAAATCCACCAATAAGCACAGGACCCCCCAAGGTAGAGGAGGAACTTTATCATTAATATATCTATAAATAAAAAAACATGGACTCTGTTGGAGTTAAAATCCAAAGAAATTCATGCACATCAGCCTATGTGGAAGACTTAAAGATCAGGCACTGTTTGCTGAGGTCAGTTGTGCTGAACTCCTCAGGCAGTACAATGTATTGATCTGGTTTAATCTTTATGCAGAAGGGTTGTCTGTTCAGCCAGCTTTTTTGGGGGGTGGGGTGGGGAGGACCTCTAAAACTGCAGTGACCTTGTGAAGTATCCTTTTGTTAACTGAGAGTCCCCATCCATTCAGTTCATTATATGGCCCCCAGCACCATGATGCTTGAACCCCCATCCCTGGCAGTACAACTAGTACCGTATCACCTGAGGCTGGAGAGAGCTGATTGTAGTTGGGAAGTACTTTGAATGCAGTAAGCGCCAAGAAGGGGATGAAATTGTTTAGGATGGCACAAGATTGTGTAAATACACTTAGGAGTAACAGGATAAAATTTTAGACCGCAGAATAGTCTTTCCAGGGAAGTGGGACCATAAGGCCTGTAACATAAGGTTAAGTTGGCCAAAGTCTTGGAGAATAGACTGTATGGAGCAATCGCATACTGGCCCTCAGGGTTGGGGGAGATAGACTAGAAGCATGGATGGAATATAACTGGGCTTGGTAGGATTAGATTTTTATTGGTAAATGTCAGTTTCACAGTATACACACAAACCAATGAGAAACTGTTTCCGCCGATAATAATCAAAATTTACAGATAGGCAAAGTAAGAAAAATGCTGCTTGAGAACGTCTTAGAGTTTGATTTAAGCATATTTGTTTTGTATATTTTGCCATGTACTGTTGACACTTTGTGTTTTAACGATCAAGAAGCTAAAGATTTATAAATCTCAACATCTACTGAGATTAAATTATTATTGTCTGACACCCCCCCCACATCCCCCGTTGTCTGAACCTCCCGGTTTCCTGCAACTGTGAAAATGTAAACTGATAAATGTTGAAAAATGCTTAAAAATAAACATCAATATTATCCATCAAAATGATAAAAAAATAAAAATCCAGTTCTGCTAAGCCTAAATAGAACTGTTTGTTTAATTAACTGCTTTCTTTAATTAAGCACCAACCCACTGGGCGCAGTTCAAGCTAGTTCCTCTACTCCAGGGGTGGGCAAATTTTTTGGGCCGAGGGCCACATCTGGGTGGGGAAATTGGAGGTTGGGGTGTAGGAGGGAGTGCAGAGTGTGGGAGGGGGTACGATGTGCAGGAAGGGGCTCAGGGTAAGGGATTGGGACAGAGGAGGGGTGTGGGGTGCATG